CGGCGCGGGGGGGGGGGGGGGGGGGGGGGCGGAGGGGGGAGCGAAGGCTGCCTTCCCCTTTCCCCTCACCTCGTTGGAAGACCTGGGAAGAGGGCTCCCCCTGGAGCTGAGGGTAACCTAAGCACCCGGCAAAGCCTCTGCCATGGACGGCAACATGCCCAGGTTTTGGACATTGGTGTGTGCACATCTCCGGGGGCCACTGGGCCGACCAGAAGCAAACTGACTGTTCCCCTGGGTCAGGAGGTGCTTTCCTGTCTTCCTCGTGCATTTGCTGGGGAGGAAGGGGCCCGGCCGGCCCCAAGCTGTGGTCCCCACATTACAGTCCTCACTCGGGCCCTCGGGGATGCCCACGCGGCCTCACTCAGTGCCAGCCCAGGTGAGCCCGGGCCCAGGTCCCACTGGTGTAATTCACAGCCTCCAGATCTCAGCGGCTTCGCACAGCAGACGGCTGCTTTGGGCATGTGGCTCTGCCCTTCAAGGTCTCCTCCTCATCGGCCACCAGCCAGGAAGACAGAGCAGTCACTTCCTTTCGCACTTCATGGGCCAGGACTGGCAGCAGCGTGGCCCCGGCCGCTTTCAGACGTTAGTGAGCATGAGCCCAGGCACAGCATGTCCCCGGGAAGCAGGTCAGCTGGGTCACGCACAGACAGGCGGGCAATGCGGACAGGAAGCGAGGTGTCCTGAGACCACCCTGCGGCTGGTGTGCCACCTGTTCCCTGGCTTCTCCCTCAACCACCCGGGGTTTGACACCTGCCGAGACTGGCAAACTCCGACCCAGGAGGGGAAAGGCGTTTCCCTTTATCTTTGCATTTTACGCTCTAATCACCCGCCTGCCCCCTCCCCAGGGGCGCGAGCACAGATCAGAATCCTGAAGGTGCTCGGAGCTCGCTGTCCAGGCGCTGGATTCCCGCTCCCACCGGCAGGGACCATTAAAAAGGCGGATTCTCGCTTCATGTCAGAAAGCTCCGGACACGTGAGTTCACAGAGAGCTCTCGGCAAAGCTTAGGACGAGGGATCAGGCAGAGCAGATATCCAGCCCCGGCCCTATTCCCACAGGGGAGCTCGCCTCTCCCAGCCTCCTCTTCCCCAGCTGTAACGCCAGGTGATGCGACCCCTGCCCTGCAGGGCTGTCGGGAAGGTTCGAAATCACATGACCCCACCCGTCCGGGTCCTGCACGGCCGAGGACGAGTCACCATCCTACGGCAATCGCCCTGGCCACCCCCCAGCCACCTGGGGGAGACACGGTGGAACTCCCTGTGCAGGAAGTAAGTGGGACTTTCCTTGTTCTTGCTTTTCCTTGTCGCCCTGGTCCCCTCACTCATCGAACAGCCAACGGGGGGACCCCACACGCATCACCCTCAAGAAGGAAGGCCACGCAGAGGCGCCAAAAGTCGAGGTGCCGCGGGGAACACACACAGCTCTACAAAATACAGCGCATCCGGTGCCACATTTGGGAGGACACACAGACACGGAGCGGCTGGAGCCCCACCAGAGCCAGGCCACGGCTCCTCGGAGGTTCCGACACACATGCTACCACGTGGATGGACCCTGAGGACATTTCGCCAAGTGACAAACACTGACTGCACTCACGCCAGGCACCCCGAGTCGCCAGAGCCACAGAGACAGGAAGTGGGCCGGTGGCCACCGGGGCGGAGGGAGGAGCAATGGGGAGTGTCCAGTGGGGACAGTCTCAGGTTCGCGAGATGAAGGAGCTCTGTGGATGGTGGTGGTGATGGCGGCACAATAGTGGCATGTGCTTCATGCCACCGAGCCGTTCACTTAAAAATGGTGGAGATGATACCTTTCACGTTACGTGTATTTTACCACAATCACATTTTCTAGACCTCCGTCAGAAAGAGCCGGCTAGACTCCTGGAAGGCCAGCCCGGGTGGGCACCTTAGACACCACCTCTATTCCCAGAGGAAACAGGCCGGGGGAGGGGCCTGACCTATCCCAGGGGCCGGGCATTTTCGTCCAGGCTGAGCTCCTTCCACGTCCCCCCCCACCCCCCGCCCGCAGTGTGACAGGTGCCCAGGTGACCAG